GACTCTGTAAACTAGTAAGATCGCCTTCTTCCTTCGAAAACCAAATTCCAAATCCTCTGAGGTTGGCAGCTGGAGGTGAAATCTTCCCAGGGAGAGGGAAGCTGGACCTGGAAGCCCCGCCTTTGTCCCCCTGAAGTTCACTGTCCTCTTTAACAGGTTCTTGTTCATGACTCTTTGTCGCGACCACCACAGAGCTGGCAGGATTGAGGGTCCAATAACAGAAGGGGGAATGTTACTCAGCTCTAAGCTTTCATACGTCATCCTTTCCTTTCCTTCCCATGAGCCCTCACATAGGCTGCTCATTTCTGCCATTTTATTTATTTATTTATTTATATTGTTGAAAGTATTACATATGTCCCCTTCTCCCCTCCCCCCCCATTGACCTCTCCTAGCCCATCCCCATTCCCTGCCCCAGGCCCTCACCATCCTATTGTCTGTGTCCATGGGTTAGGCATATATTAGAATGCCACTATATTTAAAAGAGTTTCCCCTTGCCCAGCTGGTGTGGCTCAGTGGTTGAGCATCAACCCAGAAACCAGGAAGTCACCATTCGATTCTCAGTCAGAGCATATGCCCAGGTTTCGGTCTCGATCCCCAGTCGGGGGCATGCAGGAAGCAGCTGATCAATGATTCTCTCTCATCACTGATGTTTCTATTCCTCTCTCCCTCTCCCTTCCTCTCGTGCCTGTGACATTGGCTCCCGGGAAGAGAAGGAATGTGTGCCTGGTACAGTGTCCTAATTGGCGCAGAAAGGGCTGGGCAGTGACCTTTTGGATGAGAGGCTTAGCCTTTTAATTTTTTTTAAATAAGTGTTTTCAGCTCTTTTGGCCAGCATCTGAGTGGAAGAGATGATTCTAATTCAGAGTGCAGTGCTGTCGAAACACATGAGCTCCACTGGCAGCAGAAATGAGCTCATGAGACTCTGAACTGGAGCCTCCTCTTCCTTCAGTTCTTCCCTGAAGCAGTGAAGTTGACTTTGGCTGCACACAGACCCACCTGAGGAGCTTTGAAACCAAGTCCAAGCCCAGGCCATGCTGCAACCAATCACTTCGGGATCTTGGGAGTGGGGTCCTGGTGTTTTTTTAAAGCTTCCCTGGTGATTCCAAAGGCCAGTCCAGTTTGAGAACGACTGCCTTGCATAGACTCAGAGGACATCACAACGCAAGGGGATGGTTCTTGACTTTGCAATTGAGGAGAATTGAGTTCAGAGAGGTCAAAGATTGTCAAAAGACCAGGTCAGGGGGAAAGCAGGATTCAAACTCAGCTTTTCTAAGTCCCAAGTCTGCTTTTTATGCCTCATGAGAACTGGAAAGCCCCGAGTCACTATTAAGCAATGGCAGAAATAAAATAGAAGGTAATGAAACAAAAAGGGCATGTTACTGATATCTTTAGGGAGGAAGAAAACTAAGCAACCAGAGCATCAAATTGCATCATTATGACCTTTGGGGAATCCACTTTTGGGAGAAGCAAATATTCTTACAGTTATTTCCTATCAACTGTAAATTTGCTGGCAGTTACCTTTGAACAGTAAATTCCGTGCTAATTAAAAGTGAATCGCCTCAGTGCCTGATTTAGAAATTGGAACAAATACTGGACTGAACGGGAAGCAGAGCTATTTGGGGCAATTTTGGCTAAAAGCTAATGCTCTAATAGGATGTTGACAATGATCTAATGTCGTTTTAATCGATATTTTCAGGCAGGCGGCCTTTCTGGAGAAGGGACCGGGTGTCCCATCTCGGTGTGGCCACACACACGATGCAAGGACAAGGGCCGGGCAGTGTGAGGACTGATGGAGATGGAGAAAGCCCAGTTCCCACCAGTTCCCGGTAAGCCTCAAGTGAGGAGCACTGGACAGAGCGGATGTGTTTGCCGGAGCGGAAGAAGGAGTCCAGGAGAGGCAAACTCTCAGATCAAGCACTAACCAAGGTGCTGAAACAGCCCTCTGAGAAGCTGGAGGGGTCGGGAGACCTACAGGCAGAACTTGATCCAGAGGATTTGGATCAAGGCGGTCTGTACAGTAACAGTGTTACCCATAGCCTATGTGTCCAGACTGGAAAAACACTTAAGTGTGGTATGGACGACCCAACAATCATGATGGTATCATTCCTGCTTTCCAGCAGTTCTTCCTCACCCTCTTTGGCTGCTGCTGTTTATTTCTGGCAACAACACAAAAGCAAGAGACCAAGGGGATTAAAAAAAAGAAGAAGAAGAACCAAATCCATTATGGGCGGTACTGTATCATGGCCTCTGGGATTTGTGTCTTCTTTGACTAATGACATATCCGCCCTTGGCTTCTGGGCACCGTGCCCTCTGGATCTCCTCTATTTCTGACCATCTCTTTAGCTCCAACACCCTCCCTCCCTGGCTTTCTCTGACTCCTGGCTCCAGCCTCTGTCCCTGAGCCAAAGACTCCCAAATCTCCCATCTTGAGATTTCTCTGCCTGCCTTCCGCCTGGTGTGTGTGCCCAGCTCTCGTCACTGGAACGTCTAACCTTGGATGCTTAATATATCAAAGAGAAGCTCACATCCCCTCGTCATGCCCCCTCCCTAAAGCAGGGTTCCTGCCACCCTGTCTGCGGTTCTCCCAGCACCCCGGGTTTCCTTATGCCAACCCTGGAGTTACACAACCAACAGATGCCTCGCTTTTGCTCCCAAGTAGCAGCCAACAAATCCCAGGGATTCTTCTGCAGTAAAATTCATCTCTTCCCTTTCTGCAGCCACCACCAAGACTGGGCACCGCCCCTCTGTGTAAGTATTGAGGCCTTCCCTCCACGCTGTCTGCTCTGTGGAGCCCTGCCTCTGGTGATGTAATGCTAGATACACAACTGTCTGGATACAGAACCGAGAATGGCCTCTTCAAGGACAAATTCCAAGCTTGTTTGTAAAGTCGTTAACTATTTCTATTTTAGCTGTTTTATTTTCCTATTCATGGAATGGGTATGTACTTATATTTATATAGTTATTAAATTAACACATTGCGGACCAGTCGTTTTATTGCTAGCTTTGCCCAGGGGCCAGGTAAGTTTCTATTGAACGAGTACAAAAAAACATTTTACATAAATGTTAAAGGCGCGCTTTAAAATTAAACACCCATTGCATTTTGAAGTTATTTATTACCTGTCCTTACAAGCTAATATCTTTTTAAAGCATGATACTTTGTAAAACACCGTGTAATATGAAGCGAGAATTCTCGTGATCCGTCCGCAATGCGTTAATATGTGTTAGCCCCTTACTGTGGGCCAGGGAGAAATACATAAATATGAACAGAAAATGGGTTGTTGCCATGTTCTGAAAAGTTTGTAGTCCAGTGGTAGAATGCCAGCACACTTAGCACAGTTTAATTAGGATTCAAATGGAAAAGTGCCCCAGTGGAGGCAAATGGAGACACTGTGAACGCCTTGGGGAGAAAACTTGGGAGCGGTAAAGACTTCATAGATAATGAAAACATGCAAGTGTGTGGGAGGAGAAGTGTTGGCCAAGTACTTTGTAGTTTGGCCTTTACCATTATCAAGACTCTCCCCTCTGACCAGCTTCTGTGACTCACGCTGACTTGCCTCCACCCTCCTCCAGCCTCTTGATGGACTTGCCAAGTCCTTGCTAATTCAAATTCTGCTTTCTTCCCAAGAAATTCAAGGTGAATGTCCCCCACGCTCCTGGTGCTTTCTTTTTTAATTTTTGATGTGTGTGTGTGTGTGTGTGTGTGTGTGAGAGAGAGAGAGAGAGAGAGAGAGAGAGAGAGAGAGATTGATTGATTTGTTGTTCCACTTACTAGTATTTATGCATTCATTGGTTGGTTCTTACATGTGTCCTGACCTGGGATCAACAGCCACAATCTTGGCTTATCGGGGAGGACCCTCTGACCAACTGAGCTCCCCAGCCAAGCCTTCCTTCTTTATCTTCTCTTCTCTCCATGCTGCACAGTATCACTTCTTAACCAGAATGTGGGCACCACCTCCTAGGACAAATATTCTTAGATTTAAACATGCATTAGAATCATCCTCCAGTGGGATTCAGTAGGGTTAGCTCCAAGCTTAGAAATCTGGGTTAAACAGGTTCCCAGGTGATTCAGGCACCCAAGGATGCTGAAGCGCTTTGAGAAAGTGTCAGGCCTCTGTGGCTCCCTTCTACTTCTGGGCGCAGGCTGCCCACAGCCCACAGTGCCTGGCGAAGTGCAGGGCATTGCTGAATGCCTGGGCTCCGAGTGCCGCTTAGCCGGGTGACTTAGATGCATCCGTTATTAATGACACTCGGAGTGTCAAGAAAAATGGCTCCGCCAGTGGACTGCCGGCCTCTCTGGAGGAGAGTGACTCCCGAGGCGTAAACATGTCTCTGAAAGTCCCCAGTAGGGCAGGAGGAAATGGCCTTTCCAGTGCTCTCCAAAAATGCGCCGCCATCACCCTAAATGACCTCAGCGCCTCTCAAAAGACTACAGAAGGCCGGGCAAGTCCAACAGCTCATAAGAGAAAAAGCCCACAGTAGCTAGGTGGGTAGGTATTCATGCACCGACAGCCACCACGCTTTTCCTCACAAACATCTTAAACTAAGAAACAATATTGCTAATGCCCCTCGAATAAGGATTCGTGGAAACGAACATTACTCAAACCTAGGGTTTGACAATAAACGAAGCGCCAGGTTGTTCCGTGCGCTGCCCTCCCCACGTGCCGGGCTCCAGCCCCTCCCCGCTGCCCGCCCCCCAGGCCCGGAGTGATCATTTGTGGCGGAGCTCGGCCG